CTTTGTTAAGTTTCTGTCTGGAGGTCTTGTCTAGTGGTGAGAGCGGAGTGTTGAAGTCTCCTACTATTAGTGTGTGAGATTTTATGTGCATTTTGAGCTTTAGTAATGTTTCTTTCACGAATGTAGGTGCCTTTGTATTTGGGGCGTAGATGTTTAAAATTGAGACTTCGTCTTGATGTATTTTTCCTTTGATGAATATGAAGTGTCCTTCTTCATCTCTTTTGATTGATTTTAATTTGAAGTCTAATTTGATAGATATTAGGATTGCTACACCCACTTGTTTCTTGGGACCGTTTGATTGGAAGATCTTTTCCCAACCCTTTACTCTGAGATAACGTCTGTCTTTGATGTTGAGATGTGTTTCTTGTATGCAGCAGAAGGAAGGGTTCTGTCTTCGTATCCATTCTGCTAGTCTGTGTCTTTTTATAGGCAAGTTGAGGCCGTTGACATTGAGGGATATTAATGACCATTGATTGGTGATCCTTGTTTGTGCTTGATTTATTGTTAGTGAAGTTATTTTGTATAGTTTCTCCTCCCTTTTTCTTTTGGTGTTTTGTAAAGTGTGACTATATATTGCCTGTCTTTGTGAATGTAGTTATCTTCCTTGGCTCTAGGTTTTCCTTCTAGCATTTTCTGTAGAGCTGGATTCATGGATATTGTTTAAATCTGGCTTTGTCATGGAATATTTTGTTTTCTCCATCTATGGTAATTGAGAGCTTTGCTGGATATAGTATTCTGGGCTGGCATCCTTGTTCCCTTAGTGTTTGTAGGACATCTGTCCAAGATCTTCTGGCTTTCATCGTTTCCACTGAGAAGTCAGGTGTAATTCGGATAGGTCTGCCTTTGTATGTTACTTGGCCTTTTTCTTCAGCTGCTCTTAATATTTTCTCTTTACTCTGTAGGTTTGATGTTTTGATTATTATATGGCGAGGTGACTTCTTTTTCTGGTCGAGCCTATTTGGTGTTCTGTAAGATTCTTGTACTTTCATAGGCATATCTTTCTTTAGGTTAGGGAAGTTTTCTTCTATGATTTTGTTGAATATGTTTTCTGTACCTTGAAGTTGAATTTCTTCACCTTCTTCTATACCTATTATTCTCAGGTTTGGCTTCTTCACGGTGTCCCATATTTCCTGGATATTTTGTGTTAAGGATTTGTTGGTTTTGAGATTTTCTTTGGTTGACAACTCTATATCCTCTAATGAGTCTTCAACACCTGAGATTCTCTCTTCTATCTCTTGTATTCTATTGGTGATACTTGCATCTGTAGTTCCTGATCGTTTACCCAGCTTTTCTATTTCCAGCATCCCTTCATTCTGTGTTTTCTTTATTGTTTCTATTTCAGCTTTCAATCCTTCAACTGTTTGAGTTGTTTCCTTAATTTTTTTGGTTGTTCTTTCTTGGTGCTCTTTAGATTCTTTGAGAGATTTGTTTATTTCTTGAATTTTTTCCCCCATTTCATGGATTTTTTGTTTGTTTTTTCTTCTATTTCTTTAAGGGATTTCCTCGTTTCTTCTTTGAGGGTCTCCATCATCTTCATGAAATAATTTTTAAGTTCTGTCTCCTTTTCTTCATCTATGTAGTGCTTTTCGGGTCTTGCTGGTGTTGGATCCCTGGATTCTGGTGGGGTCATGTTGGTGTTTCTATTGCTGAGTGATCTCTTATTCTGTCTTCTTCCCATCTCTTCTTCCAGTGGGTGCTGGTGGGGTCTTTCTGTCTCCACTGGTCTCCTTCCTTCCTGCAGCTGAAGCTGGGGATGCTGACACGGAGTTTGGGTCCTGGTAGGGCTGATGTCTTTCCTGAAGCTGGTCTCACTGGGGTTGGGGTCTTGGAATTGTTGACTTCTTTGCTGTGTGGGCCGGTCTCCTGAAGCTGTACTCGCTGGGGTTGGGGTCTTGGAAGGGCTGATGTCTTTCCCGAAGCTGTACTCGCTGGGGTTGGGGTCTTGGAAGGGCTGAAGTCTTTCCTGTGTCTTCTGGATAACAGGAGCGGCCCAGAAGATCAAGGGGATGGGGGATGTGCGGGCAGTCCCCGCCGGAGACCCAATCTCACCTGAAGCTGGACTCGCTCCAGAAAACATCTTTTAAAAAGGAAGTTATCGTCGGGCGGTGGTGGCGCACGCCTTTAATCCCAGCACTCGGGAGGCAGAGGCAGGCGGATCTCTGTGAGGTGGAGGCCAGGCTGTACCGACAGCCTCCAAAACAATACAGAGAAACCCTGTCTCGTAAAACAAAACAAACAAACAAACAAAAAGGAAATTATCACCAGATCACTTCACCGGTGTCTCCCAACCAGGAGATTGCCCTGCGAGGATGGTGTGAAACATCTGCTCGCTTGAAGAGGAAAGCGAGCAGCTCTTCCGCTTTCTCAGTTTGCTCCAGTAACGATCCCCATTGGACACTCTATAGAAGGAGACTGGAGGCCTGCCACAGCAAAAACAGCAGGTTACTTACTGTCCTTTCTCCCCGGGACTGCTCCTGAGATCTGTATCTGTGTATCCCATGACTTCCCCATGCCTGAAAGGAAAGTGGACACTCTGCGTGCCTCCGTCCCTCGGTCACCGCTGTGACCTAGCTCAGCAATTGTCCCTAGAAAGGTGTAACCTCTATCAGGAGAAAGGAAGGAGGGAGGGAGAGAAGGAGAGAGGGAGGGAAGGAGGGAGAGAGGAAGGAAGGAAGAGAAAGAAAATCAAATGCCAAGTCATATACTTCTAATTCACAATGGCACAGGAAAAGTATTCCAACAGGGAAAACACCCAGTCCTTCGGCCCCATATGCAACTTTTGGGGCTCACAGTGGAATCCCCTCACTCTCATTTTCTTGCCAGCTCACTAACTGGAGGCCAGCTCCTTTTTGAGCATTAGTTACAGCAGGACAAATAAAGAGCTTTCTTCCACTAACCTCTAGGTGTGCTGGATGACTTCTCGCTGGGAAGACATATTATTCTGTAACAGTTGATTCACCGAGGACTCAGGTTCAATCCTCAGCACCCACATGGTGATTCGCAACCATCTATAACTCCAGTTCCATAAGATCAATGCCCTCTTTTGAACTGCGTGGTTATCAGTCATGCTCATGGTGCACAGATACATAACAGGCAAACACACATAAAATACAACTAAAAATTAAAAAAAAAGTTTTCCACAAATCAAGCAGTTCCAATGTGAAGGGAGTCTTTGTCGTAGGTTCCTGTAGTGAGAAATCTGCATGTTGCATCACGGAATTTATCCTTTCTCTGTATGTAAAGGGCACCCGAGGGAGATTGTCTATCACTTTTATCACACTCTTTCCCCCTTCACTGTCAAATTCTTGCCACGTGCTCTAAGTTTTTTGATTCCCAAGAAGGGCTTCTGGCACAGAGGGAACTTTTCTTCCCTCTGTGAGCCGCGGGCTATGAGAAATAAGTAGCCACTCCCTCCATGCCATCCTCCTTGCATTCCTATGTTCCCGGCTAATCTGGGAACATAGTATTTGCTTTCCCCATTGTACTTGCTCCCTAGAGGAGGGGGTCACAGCTTACAAACGATGTCAACCTCCGTCTTAAAGAACACAAGTCAACTATCTGTAGGTACGTTAGAAGACACTCCCTAGCAAGACCTGAGAGAGGAAGATGCGGAAAAGCCAGACATGTGCTATGCTGTGCAAAATGATTTGGTGCTGCAGGAACCCAGGATGACAAGGGTAGAGGCAGAAGCAAAGGCTGTCTTGGTATCAAACTCCATTTCATAAACGATGTTCTACACTGTGCTATGTAAATTATATTTGCATACTAGCCACACCCACTTTTTCTTTGCTGTTTGCAAGAAGTAGGCTTTGAACTCCTGGGAGTGACATAAAATAAGGGAGTCCCAGCTGGCAGGCAGGGTAGTCCCTCCAGAACCATAATCAAGAGTCCCTGAACTCAGAGGTCCTGCCCGTTCCTTTATGATCCACCTTTTAGTCCCACAGACCTCCCAGCCCAAATTACCACTAAGTGCTATCCAAGCACAGGCTTTCCTTGAAGGCCCTAATTTTGCCGTGTTGACTGAAGCTGAGCGACTCTATTATTGGAAAAGGAAGCATTTGTGCTTCTAATACAGGAAATCTAAACAATTAGCTCCTGTGGACTCCAGCAGCTGGGGTTAAAGGAAGGCCTGGGACTGGATATCTTTGTTTCATGTGAGGCTATTGAGGAAGTATTTTACAGGCTAGAGTCTGGTCTCTACCAGGTTGTTTGGAGTCAATAGGGTCAGCTGGGAGATCTTAAACACTGATTATTACTTACAGTGGAAAAAGTGTACGCGAGATTGGCTTTCAGAGGGGGCAGAGAACATTCTCTAACATGTATTGTAATTTGGATATTCAAAGGTGGGAAGGACCACTTATGCTGGCCAGAGAGAAACTAGCGTGGGAAGAAAAGAAAATAGAAATAATTATTATGTTCTGTTGCCAGAGGGAATTCACTCCTCAGAGGCAGAGAAGGCGGCATGTGTTAGACACAGGGTGGCTAATACAGGCAGGCAGAAGTAGTTGAAGATCACCAGAAAGACTCATGTCATGGAGGGGAGTGCTAGGGAAGCCTCCGGAGGGATGTAGATAAGCCCAGAGTTAACTGTCATAAACATAAGATTGAGCTTCCTCCATGCTCGGTATCTTCTGATAAACCAATCTGAACAAAGCATTCTGCCAAGTGAGAAAAGCTATGTATTCTGGGGCAATGGTACACATTCAGAAAACTGATCCTTTTTTTTTTCTTTTCATTTTTAAGATTTTATTTTATGAGGCTAGAGAAATGTTTCAGAGGTTGAGAGCACTGGCTACTTTTGTTCCTACCACACACATGGTAGCTCAAAACTGTCTGTGATTCCAGTTCCAGGGTATCTGATATTTTTTGACCTCTACAAACATACATACATGCAAACAAACATTTATATATATGTATATATATGTATGTATCATATGAATAAATAAATCTTTAAAAATATACTTTTGTGCTCACATGCATGAGGATGCACACGCTGTATCTGTAGAGACTACAAGAGGTGTCAGATGTCTGATCTCCTGGACTGGAGTTATGAGGGCGGGGGCTGGGGGCCACCCAACATGGCACCCAACATGGGTGCTAAGAATCCAATTCCAATTCTCTGAAAGAATAGTAAGTGCTCTAACTGCTGAGCCATTTCTCCAGAGCCCTGTTCATTATTTCTAATGAAGAAGGTTACTTACAAGCCTGAGATAAGACTTCCTGATCCTTGTAAATTTCTCAATCTCTGAGCGTCCATGTCCTCATCTATAGAAAGAGGATAACTGTAGCATGAGTGCTAATTATTCTTCATAATAAAAACCCAGAGTCAGATATAGGGGCAAATGCTGAAAGATCAGAGAGACAAAGGAGCAAGCCACAACCATACCTTACTTGCACAACTTCTCAGCCTCAAAGAGCCGAGCTCCTGTCTTCACCCCTGCTTATCATTTCCTGTCTGTCTGTATAGACCTCCAGACCTCTATGGTTAACTAGTGGCTAGCTTCACCTTCTGATCTCCAGGCAAGCTTTATTTTTTTTAGAACACAAAGAAAATATCACCACAGGTGACAATGTCATTCATTTCATGGCCTCACACTTTAAATGTAAAGCGCTTAGAATGTTTTATGCACAGGAGAGGTCTACTGACACTAGGCAGAAAATAGCAGGGAAGTAAGACAGTAAATCAACAACATGTACCTATGACGGAGTAGTGAGTAAAAGACTCTCCACAGCCGTGACGGCTAAGCTGTCACCCAAAGGGGAGTTAGAACCAGTAACGTTATGGAATAATCTTTTTGTACACAGTGAAGATGTGTCACTTGGATTGGTTTAATAAAAAGCTGAATGGCCTATAGCTAAGCAGGATTTCCAGGCACAGAGGACGTTGGGAGAAGAAGGAAGGAGAGGAGGAACAAGGAAGACATGCAGGAGGAGAGGTATCAGCCATGAGCCACGTGATAGAACACAGACTAAAAGATACAGGTTTAGTGAAGTTATGAGAGCTAGGTAGAAACAAGCCTAATCCATCAGCTGAGCTTTCATAATTAATAATAAGTCTCTGTGTGGTTATTTGGGAGCTGGCTGGTGGGACAGAGACTCATTACACAGTCATGACTAGAGAATTTCACAAACAGGAAAGGCTGGATGCATGGACGAGGGGAGGAAGAAGCTTATTTGAAGAATATTGGGGAGGGGGTCAAGAGGTGGGACCTCTTCTCTGTGTGGTAAAACACAGGAAGCAAGAAAAAGTTGTATTAATCATTTGCTGCTCTATTGACCAATCATAACAAACTTAAAACAGCACTCGCCTGTGACCTGGCATATTCGTGTCTAGGTGGGCGTGACTGAGTTCCCTGCTAGGATCACACAAGACTGGAATCAAGAGCTGGGCTTTTATGTGGAGGCTAAGGGAGAACCCAGTTCCAGTGTCATTTGGACCTTGATAGACTTGTTGGTATAAGACTGGAGTGCTCATGACCTCAGTAGTTATCAGTTGGGGCATTTTCCTAAGAAAACTGTTTCTACTCCTTGTCTTGTAGCCTCTTTCAAAGCAGGGAAAGAGAGGGCCAAATCTTTCCTGCCGTTTGAATTCTTCTGACTTCCCCGCCTGCCTCCACTTTTAAGGGCTCAGATAACAGCCCCTTCGCCGTATAACATAGCACAGTCATAGGGAATAACTACAAAGGGTTAGAGATGATGGGGCCCAAAATTCCACCTGCAGGAAATGAAATCTATGTGAGCTTAAGCCAAACCATGTAAAGTGTTATAGGGCCAATAGGGAAATGTTGTTGGTACTCTAGGCAGCCAAGAAAACCTGTGAAATTTTAGTTTATGTCACGATCTGATTTATACTTCCAAAAGAAAATAGAAAGCATGGTTCCATGATGTTTTTCTGTTGCCTTAGTGGCTGCACATGAATCTACTGATACTTCAGTTGTCTGCCACCCCATGGCCCCTCAGCCGGGGCTTCACCGGCTACTCAGGCTGCAGCCTGATGGGGCTTCCAGTCCCACAGCCCTGGCTCTGCTGTGACCCTGCTATATAGGTTTAAATTAAGTCTCACTCAGACGCCAAAGGCTGGGGTGAAAACCTGCAAGCCCAGAGAGACTGAGGAGCAACGAGCTGACCTTGCTTTTTGGCCACATCCCATAACCAACAGAGCTCAGACTCTAGTTTCCTCCCTCTCCTTCCTGTGCATCTTCTCTATGCAAATTGCTGGCTTCTCTATGGCCAGTTAGGTCAGCTAGTCACTGACTTTGCCCCGCCCCCCACTCAAAGTATAATTTTATTGGGTAGTCTCGGGAGTGTCAAACTATCCCACAACAGTTTTGTGTGGAGAATAATGAATTGTGGGTCAGAAGCAGAGACAGAGAGAGTATGGCTACCCAAATGTGAGGTCAAGTGCCTTGGAGGATAACAGCAGCAGAGGGAATAGAAAGAGAGCATGGATTTGGGCTTTCTCTGGGATAAGCCAAGGGTATAGGGACTGTGAGGGGGAAGATGCGATCAGCTTAGGGAATGGTGGTGCTATCAACTGAGATGGGGAAGAAAGGATTGGTGTTCCATGGTCAGCAGAGGGACTGGAAATCTTAAGTTCTGTTTGATCACTTAGTACCAATGTGAAAACACAGCTCTCACCTACCTCCAAGGGGTCAGGAGATAGTAGTCAATTCTGGAGCCAAATATGGGTATCCATGGCCCAGAAACAGATTCAGGTTACCCCAAATCCCATGTTCTAGGATGGTAGCAGCTTCATGAAGTTTCTATAGTAACAGAACAAAGACAACCATGTATCAAGGCACTTTCTTAAAATACATTGGTAACATTAACATTATAATAAAGCAGAGAAGCCTAGCCAGGGCCTCAGATTCTCTGACGACTCCGAGCCAGTGGGTGGGTAGGAACTGGGCTTGGTTAACACATTTCAAGAGTTTTTTAATCTGTTAGTGAAGATGATAGGTCTGACACAGAGGTGGGCAAGTGATGACGATTTAGGGGGCCTAAAAGGTGCCCACTGCAAACTACAACCTCTCCAAGATGCAGCCAGGCTTTGCTGACACAGATTCTTCCCAGGGATTCTCCCTCACAGTAGGCATTCAGACCCCTACTCCCACTTGGTACTAGGTCCACCCCTCCTCCACAGTGCAGCGACCTCACAGATTGTAACCCTTCCTATGTCTCTTCCCCCAGTCTCAATCACAGACAGTTTTGTTTGATGCAGTCTACCAGATCCTACCACATGGCTTCTTTTTTTTTTTCTTCTTTTTTTTGGTTTTTCGAGACAGGGTTTCTCTGTAGCTTTGGAGGCTGTCCTGGAACTCACTTTGTAGACTAGGCTGGCCTCAAACTCACAGAGATCCGCCTGCCTCTGCCTCCCGAGTGCTGGGATTAAAGGCGTGCGCCACCAACGCCCGGCCTACCACATGGCTTCTGGCCACCTCTCTAACTTCATTTCCTTCCGTTTTCCTCCTTATCCTTTTTGTACGTCAGGTGCACCAGCCTTCTCCTAATGCCTACTTTGCAAACTTGCTCCCATGTCTGAGCTTTTACAGTTTTCTGCAAAATCTTTACTTTGGTTATCTGAAGGCCTACACTGTGGCATGTGTACTCATACCTCTGTGAATTAACTAACTAATTAATTAATTAAACGTAAACAAAACTAAGTAGAAGGCACATAAGGAATGATGCTTGAGGCCGTCCTCTGACCTCCGTATGCAAGTGCGCACAGTTCCCCAGTGCTGGGTTTGCACAGTCGTCACTTTAACTCTTTTGTTTTGTTTCGAGACAGGGTTTCTCTGTGCGGCCATGGTTGTTCTGGGATTCACTGTGTGGACCAGGTTGGCCTCCTGGGATTGAAAGTGTGCACCACCACCGCCCGGCTGTCACTTCAACTCTTCATCCCATTGTAATTTTCTTTACAGCGTCTATCTCATATTGTTTTATTTATTGGTTTCCTCTCTGTTTTATTCCCCTACAAGCTTCACTAACAGGGACTTTCAAATGTTTGTCAATATGACATAATATTTGCACATCAGTGTTTTAATTTGCATTTTAGTGAGTATATTAGCTGCTTTTCTGTTACTATGATAAGATGCCTTGACCAAAAAGCAACTTAAGGAAGACGGTTTATTTAAGCTTACAGTTCCATAGGCGTAAGAGTCCGTGATGGCAGAAGAGAAGTATCGTGACAACAAATGTCAGGCAGGGCATCTGGAGCAGGATGCTGAGAGCCCACATTTTTTAGTATAAGCACAGAGCAGAGAGAGCAAACTGGAAGTAAGAGAGGCTTTTTACCCTCAAAGCCTGCCTCCAGAAACGCACTTCCTCCAGCTAGGCTACACCTCCTAAACTTCCCCCAAACAGCACCCTTCTCTGGGGACCAAGTCTTCAAATAGGTGAGCCTACGGGGGGGGGGCATCTCATTCAAATCACCACACTGAGTAAAGTGAAATCCACAGGAAAGATTCCTATAGATGATTAGCACAAATATGGGCTGTCCTCATTTTAATATGTATTACATACTATATGCTTTAGATCAATCTCCCCTTCAATAAAATGATTACTTTCACAGTAAGCTTATCTTTTATTTTTATGTCTATGTTCTTACACAAAGAGTTGGAAAAAATTAAGGATATATAATGAAGTGGCAAATTATAAGTAAGTGTATGAATATTGAGCAAAAGAATACTAATACGGGGGCTAGAGAAACAACTAGGACTCAGGTTCAATTCCCAGCATGCACATGGTGGTGCACAACCATTTGTAATTCCAGTTCCACGGGATCAGACACTCTGCTGGCCTCTGAGACCATCAGGTATACAAATGATGCACAGACATATATGGGCAAACACCCATACACATAAAATAAAGTTTCAAAAGAGAATACTATTATGAAAATCTTTGCAGTAAATACTCTGTTTGATATTTGGGTTTTTTTCCATGAACATCTCAGTATTGTTAGAATATTATTCCATAACTTAGGTTGTGGATACAAAGATGGACACAAATATCCTCTTTTTCTGGTATTCATGCCTTGAGTAAGCCCCTCTCCTTGAATGTAGGTGAAAGGTGTGGCTTGATTTAACCAGTAGCATAAGACAAAGATGATGAGATGCCACACATGACTGTAGAGCATGAAGCTGTAACTTTGACCCTGCCGGTGGCTTTGATGTTCTGATGCAAGTTATCACATGGAAAGACCTTCATGGCAAGGAATTAAAGGTGGTGCCCACTCAACAAGGTCTGCAGCCCACCAGTCTGCAAGAACGTGAATGCTACTGATAGGCACGTGAGTTTGGCCCAAGAGCCCATCCCATCGGAACCTTACATACTATCTGATTGATGCTGCTGAGACCCCAGGAAGCAGAGGACTGTGTGAAGCTACAGCTAGATCACAACTCAGAGAGACTAGACGAGATTGGAATGTTGTAAGTCCAGAGGTTAGTAACCTTATCTTGGGCTAGTTCTAACCCTCCAGAACAGCCATTCCTTGTTCACCCTCTGTATCAGAACTAATATCATGAGACTAATAGACAGAAACCTTTTAGAATCTACTAACTTAGAAGACTGCTAGCTTCCACTAACCCAAAAGCATCTTGGGCCTATAGGAAAGCTTCCTGTATCTCATTGTACCTGCCTCTCTGAGGTACCCTCGACTGTGCTTTAAATGCGCCTCGATTCATGACTTTCTTTATTCTGTAAATCTACAAAACTCCATGAAACTACTTTCACATTGGAACATGAGATTTGGGGCAACCCAAATCTAGGTTCCCAGGCAATGGTCACTGAAAATGGCTCCAGAATAAACCATCTCTTATTCCCTTTAAGATGAGAGCTTTAAGATGGTTTTCGTGTTGCCATTACTAACACAATGAATGTGTAGGAAATGCTACATTTTATTGTTTTCCAGGATTAAATCAACCAAGTCCGTTAAAGTCGATAATTAAATCAACTGTTTTTAGAGGGCCAAATTTCATCTTTCATGAAAGAATTGAGGCTTTTATAACTGAGAAGACCCACGAGGAAGAGGAGCAAGAGCCCTCAATCCATTGCTTCGTTGATGGGATGTCCATTGCCCAAATTACACAGTCTATCAAAAGGAGGCTACTTCAGTGAAGATACATCTACTCCTGCCAGATGTGGCAGCGGGCACCTTCACTCCACAGGGATGGCTCTGCTTAGTGCCAGTCCTCAGGAACTGTCAATCATGCCCGTCAAGATTCCTGTTGCTTCCAAGCCACAATAAGGGGTGTAGATCCCATAGCCAATGGACTTCCTGTATAGTCCTTCATACTCAAATCACCTCGACTCCAAGCTCTTCTCTCTTGCCCTCAGGTGCTCTTGTTTTGTAGGTCAATCTTTCAGGTTCCTAAAAACCTAGATTTAAAAACCAAACTTTCTTTTAAGAAGGTGAAGGTAGTAAGTATACCAGCTAAAGTTCACCTGTAAGCCCTACCTACCCAAGGACAGATAACTTTTTGGAATGCTGGGGGCTGTTGTTCATGTAAAATAATTAGTCACTTGATTTCACTTCAAGAAACAAGGTTTGGTGCCCCAAAGGATGTGCTTGATCATGTGTAGGCAGGAGATATGCAGGCAGGAATTTTGTCAGGATGTATGCTCTGATTGGCTAAGGTGGGCAATACATGGTCTTGTGGGTTTGGCCTTTATAGGCATCTGACTGACCTAATTCAGTGCCATTCTCTGGGAATCCCGGGTATGGACCTAGCCGTATTCATCTTCCTGGCCAGTGTTAAATAAAGCTTGTTGTAATTGGACAGTCATGAATTTGATTGTCCTTGAAATTTACGGGTTTAACAGTAGCTCCAATCCACTGAGAAGAGTGCTGCCTTAGTTATCTTATCCCAAGAAAGGGAGGGAAAAATCAACTTCCATTCTTTTGTGATGACTCCTCGGCAAGCAGAAGTCATTTAATCTGTTGCTAAGGTTACGAGCCACATAACCAGCCAAAGCAAGATGAAAACAGGGGCAGTCCCAAACTTCTGGCTATTGTGAAAGATGCCATTTAGGAGCTGTCTCATCGAGAAAAACAAGACTTCTAGCTCAAAATCCTGCAGGGAATTTTGATTTGCTCATCCTAAATCTAATTTGATTCTAATTTTAAGTCTAGATAGTGGTGAGATCCACGTGCCAGTGAGCTTGGGCCTGTACCAGTTACTATCCAAGTATAAGGGGGAAGAGAGTATCAGACATGAAGACAAGATACAGAGATATGTTAAAATGCAACCAAAATTAGACATTAACACTTTTCTTCTCAGTGTTGGCAACTGAGCTCAGGGTTTTGAGCATGGTGGGAAAGTGTTCTGTCTCCAGGCTACACCTCTCAACCCAATGTAGAAATTCATATTTCACAGCTTATAGAAATAATTAGTATTGTTTACCATTATAATCCTTGTCGTTATGGCTTCTGAGCCTGTCTCTTTTTCTTTTTTCTTTTTCCTTTTAAATGCATTGGACTGTATCCAAATTCCTAAGCCAAATACAAGCTTTTTTTTTCCCCCACAAAGATATGAATTTAATTTTACAGTGGTTCCACCCTCCCCCATTGCCCCCTTTTCCATTTTCTGTAATAATCCTGCATTATTCCTCCCACTCAAAAGCAGAGAAAGACAGCCCAACAACGTGCACCCCCCAACATACTTACAGGAAAGATTAGAAACAATTCAGCCCCAGCCAGGCCAGCACAAAAGCCGGGAAGCTTTTCTTGGCTTTGGGAGTCCTGTGCAAGCTGTGTAGGTGCTTTCCAGCAATTTGGTTTTATTATTTTTGATTCTGCTCTTGCCGCAGAAACCCTAAGTTGTCTGACATTGGTGGTATTCAGTGATTGTTGCCAAGCTTAATTCCAGTTCAGCTGTTTGGAGGGATTGAGTGACCACGGGAGAGGGTTTTATAAAGCTCCTTGTTTGGTGCATTGGCATGTGCTCAGGAAATGTGAGTCAGGCCCCCTTCACCTCTCAGGAAAATAGCTTGATTTATGTCCTCTAAACTGAAGGCAAGCCCACGATATGACACTTGGCCTTATGTTAGTACAATGCCCTCAGACCACACTGCAGGAAGCGGTGTTTGTGAAGGAAGCACACATAGGGGAGAATACTAAGGTAATGTTTGTGAAGTATCAAACCCTGAGACAACTGGCTGAGGTGCCTGTTTAACATATAAAAGCGGACCTGGCCAGGTTCTCCCAGCATCCTTCAGTCCCTACCTGTTACTGGGCCCTCATGGCTGGCATACCCCTCCCCCTCCCCTAAACTTCTCCAACCCTGGGGGCTAGGTTGCCCTTCCTCAGTGCCCTTCCCTTCCCTGCGGAATCTAACCATTTCTGGTTGGGTTTGGTCTTCTTACTCTCTTTTGTGCCTCCTGGATGCTGCACCTGGCTTCCTTTGCTCTCCCCACTCCCCCCATGGCTCAGGGTCATGTCCCCTCTGGACTCTCTCCCAGATGACCCTCTCTCCCTTTAATCTATAAGAAACTTTCTCTTCCACCTTACCTAGCAGTGGTCAGGTCCTCTCCTTTTCATTTCTTTTTGTCATTCAGTTTTAGGCAATGAGCAGATACATTTTTAATATTCCTTATGCATCCATTTAAATAAATCCATGTATTCAGACAGTGTAATATGTCAACCCATAATTTCATGGATGTTATTGCTTAAGACTGGGTTAAATACAAAGTTTAAAAGTCCAAGGAAGACAGGAAGGAAATGGCAATGCAATTGGCAGGCAAACAAAGTGGTAGCTGAGCGATGGTATACAGACTGCTGGTGTTTCAGAAACACTGTCCAATTAGAACACCCTAGGATTTGTCTCCAGCAGACTCGTCTTGTTACTGAGCAGTTCAGTGTTTGTTTGATTTTTGAGACAGGGTTTCTCTGTATTGCTTTGGAGGTTGTCCTGGAACTCGCTCTGTAGACCAGAGCTAGCCTGGAACTCACAGAGATCCGCCTGCCTCTGCCTCCCGAGTCCTGGGATTAAAGGCGTTTGCCACCAATGCCTGACTGCTGTTCAGTGCTTTAAGCCTCTTCACAAACCTCTGAATTGGCACCTTCACTTGTAGTAAAAGACTAAGTCCGGTTGTAAAGCTCTTCACAGAAACTAAGATTCTAGATGTCAGTCCAGGATACAGTGAGTAGAGCGTGTGCTCATTAAAAGGCACACCCTATCTGATTCTTTCTTACCTGATTCTTACTTTTTTAAAAATACTTATTTATCATGCATACAGTTTTTTTTTTTTTATCTGTGTACATGCTTGTACGCCAGGAGAAGGCATCAGATCTCATTATAGATGGTTGTGAGCCACCATGTGGTTGCTGGGAATTGAACTCAGGACCTCTGGGAAAACATGCAGTGCTCTTAACCTCTGAGCCATATCTCCAGCCCCTGATTCTTACTTTTTGTGATTGATCTTGTATAAAAATCCCAAAGCCAGAAAGCAAGCAATCATTTCTCCTATCTAACACTAATGTCAGAAAATACTGGTACCTCTGAGAGACAGAAAGTCTCCAGGATTGGGCTCTGTCTAGGGTGCAGGGATTTGACTGTCTCCTTGAACTGACAGGAACTTGATTTAAAAGGCAAACACAAAAATAAGCATGTGATTATCTGTTTTGTGTCATCATCTCCCCCCAGTAAACTCGCTCTTCTTTCTCTTGACATGTTTGACTGTTATGGGATTGTTTTCAGAATCAAGAGACTGTGATTCAGGTTCTTGCTAAGTCTTGCTAAGATATCCAGGCTAGCTTCAATCGCGACTCTCCTGCTGCATCATCCCAAATCGCTGGGGTCACAGGTATGCATAGCTGCTCCAGGCACTACTGCCACCTTTCAGCTAATTCTAAATGAGAAGTCAGGGGAGCTTTATGGTATCCCATTAGAGTGTTTTCATCTTAAAGACACAATGGATGAAATAGCCTTAAGTTAAGTAGAAGGTAAAAGCCTATTGAAATGATTAGAAGTAGTGAGTTTTGGATAGTTACCTTTGATTTTAATATGCTTATTTTCTAGGTTATAATAAGTATTGTAGGTTCACTTATTTTTTAAATAAACATTTTTTAATTAATTAATTTTTTGCATTCCAATCCCAGTTCCCTCTCCCTCCTCTCCTCCCGCTCCCCTCATGTAATTTTTTTTTTTTTTTTGGTTTTTCGAGACAAGGTTTCTCTGTATTGTTTGTGGAGGCTGTCCTGGAATTCGCTCTGTAGACCAGGCTGGCCTCGAACGTACAGAGATCTGACTGCCTCTGCCTCCCGAGTGCTGGGATTAAAGGCGTGCGCCACCAACGACCGGCTTCATGTAATTTTTAATTGTTGTTTTAACAATAACTCAAGAAATTCTTGAAAATAAAATAATCTATTTTTTGTAAGTCAGTATGAGTTAGCTGTAGTAGCACTGTTGGAAACATCTTGACATACTAACACTTGTATCTGGTCTTTTTGTTAGGATTTATGCAGCAGAGTACCTTGGCTGGTCAGGGCCAAGGTATGCCACAAAGATCACACCATGCAATAGTTCTCACCCAAGAAATTTATTAGGCTGGGGGAGCGAAGGTGGAGGAAAAGAAGAGACAGAGACAGATTGAGAGAGCAGGTGTGGTGTCAGAAGAACTTTTAAGGGTACACTGTTGGTAGCTGGTGCTGATGGGGTTGCTGGTGCTAAGTTGCTGAATCAGGCTGGGGCTAACACTTTCCCCAATAACTCAGGGGTACCCCTGCTGTCTTGACAAGTGTGATAGCTATTAAAGGCCAACAACAACTACACAAAGTCCTCATTACAAACAGTGGAGTAAATGAATGTAATCACCATACATTTGTCCTAGAATTGTAGCGTGACCCCCACCCCAGGAGACCCAAGAAAAAACAAGAGACTGGGAGCTGAGTCTGCATAGTATAGTTTGACATATAGGGCTGATGAATTGATGAATAAGAACAAATATGCCTATCTAGGGAAAATTTAAAGGCAAGCTTTCTGAGAGGGAAGGGAATCACAAGGTAAATCACAAGGTGGTTGTGTTGTGAAATCTCCCTTAAAGGTGGGTAAACTGGGCCAGGTGTGGTGGTTTGCTCCAATAATTCGGTCACTGGGGAGGTAGAGGCAGGAGGAGTTCAGGGTCATCCTCAGCTATATAATATACTCTGGGCTAGGCTGAACTATGTGTGACCCTGTCACAAACAACCAATCGACCCAAAAGCAACAGAACTAGAACACAAAAAGATACAATTGGAAGAAATCTTTAAAAGTAGAGCCAAAAGTAATAAAGAAAATGGCAGACATGAAAAATAGTTCCTTTCAGGTTAGGTTGGCCCTTTGACTCAAGCTGCATGTGTTGCAGGATCTCCCTCTTCCAAAACAGAGAAGCCTAGGGCAATGGGTCATGTGGAATCTTGTTGCTACTGTTTCCCCTAACCAGAAACACAAGGCACCAGCCACCTTGAGGGGCTACAAGATCCCACTGAAAAGTTTCTGCACCCTGATAAGCAATTCAATCAGACCAAATCAAACCAAATTAGAAAAAGCCCAGGTTTAATGGGTAAAATGCTCCTGGATGATTTTCCAGTCTCCCAGAGAGGAAACAGAAAAGACCAGAAATTCCCTTGTCTGTTTTCCGGGAAGCAATTTAAATACCCTGTGGGAGTGGTCTTGAGCATCTCTGGGGGAGGAGCCCTGTTTGGTGGGCTTTCTAGGATGGGGCAGGGTTTGGGGAGAGGGAGAAGGGGAAGGGGCATTGAGGTGGAACTTTCACAAGAACATTACAGACTCTTTGAGTATATGGATGTCAGGGGCTGAGGGAAAGCTTCCATCAGAACACCCACACCTTGGAGTAATCAGACTTCATGCCTTTCAGGGTGGGGGGAAGCAATTAACTCCAGTGGGCTATGTAGCCTGGTGCAGCAAGGCCAGGCTTTCTAAAACAATGGCCAGGCATCCTTCAGGGTTGCATGAGCAAACATCTGAAGGTGATGTGGAGGAACCCTATTTGAAATTTACTGGTCCATTAGAGTGGGTGTGGTGGTGTGAATGGAAATGGCCCCCGTAATCTCATAGGGAGTGGCACTATTTGGAGGTGTGGCTTGGTTGGAGTGGGTGTGGCCTCGTTGGAGGAAGTGTGTCACTGTGAGGGTGGGCTTTGGAAACTGCCCAGTGTCTCAGTTGACTTCCTTTTGCCTGCCAGATGGTAGACTTCCATGGCCTGCACACTGCCATGCTCCCCGTCATGATGATAGTGGAGTGAACCTCTGAACTGCAACTGCGAGTGAGCCAGTCCAATGAAATGTTTTCTTTATAAGAGTTGCTATGGTCATGCTGTCTCTTCACAGCAATAAAAATCCTAAGACGGCATGAGGGGGTGGCGGGAGGTTTGTGCTTCAGTCCAGCTGGCTATCCCTTCCATTCTGGCATTCTGTCACCCATTTTGTCCAGGGGTCTGTCTCATAAAGAAAGAGAACTCTGAGTCCCAAGAGGAGCATTTGACCCTCATGTTTATTTAGATGCTGTAAGAGCACCCTGAGGAATCTCAAAAGCATTTAAGACTTGGAATCACACCTTAGCTTAGACTTTTCTACTTTGGTTACCTGCTGTTAATAAAACACATACTGGATTAGTTATATCTACTATAACTAGCCAAGATTTGTTCATTATGCCCAAGATACTGTAAGAGGGATCTGTGAGCAACTTGACCCCACTGGCTGAATGGCTTGAGAAAATAAAATAGTCATAAACACGATACTAGCTGAAAAGGGTGAGGGTCTGTGTAATTCTAGAAGGACAATGCTGCATGTACATTTTCAGTTTTCAGCAACGGGGCCCCAGATGGGAACATTAACCGGAGCCCTTAAAGACCTCCATGCTCGTGGCAATGGATTGGAG